TAGCCTTTCCAACTTGAGCTATTAAGCCCTATGGAGTGTCTCTACACTTAGCACCCTAAAGCCATCTGGTTTGGGAGTTGTTGGCCTAACGCTTGCTACATAGGTTGGTTAGAAAGCTTAAGGGACTTCAGCATTGCACAACCATTCTATGTTTCGCTTATGAGTTACAATAAATTGTCAACAAGCAACAAAAGTTGTCTTGTAAATAAAATCATGCCTTAGGGACCTCATTTAAAGGGGAATTCAATGATTTGAAAACTTGTGCCTTGGAATTGGAAAAGAAAGTAAAAGCCGCATGTTGAGAATCCAATTCACTTTCACTAAAACTAGAGTTGATTTCCATTCAAGAGATGATAATTGAGTTATTTATATAGACTTTGATGTTGATGCATGTACGTGGAAATGTATTTAGCCAATTTTTGTATCAATGCTTCATATATGCAAGGTAGTTTTCCCAATGACCCCATCTCTAGTTTTTGTCTGTTTCAAGTTGTATTTGAGCTATGTATCTATCTCATTTTACCATGGATGATATTTTTGTAGTACCATGCCCATGGTTGTCTTTTCATTAAGTTTTTCATTGTAGTTTTACAAAGGGACTAGCGAAATGTAAGTTTGGGGGTGTGATAAGCGCCGAATACTGTATATTCAAGCGCCCTAAATTGCATTAGTTAAGTCCGTTGTTTGTTTAATTAAGTAGATTATCTTCATTTGTGTGCATGTATATATTTTCAGGTCCATTTGCCAAAAAAGGAGCAAAATCAAGGCTTTGTGGAGTTTTGGCCTTCAAAAGGCACAAGGCTGAATTTCTGGCAGCAGTGGATCCTGAACTTTACTCACCATTTTGACCTTGAAACCTTGGGAACTGGACTTTCCTCATAACATGAAAGATTTAGAACTCTGAATCAGCTTTCTAAATCTTCAAACGGTTTGTCATTCGGAGCTTGGAGCAGAGAGTTATAGCCTTGTTACCAGAGGTGCGCAGAACTGCCTGGCAGCAATGCAATTCTGCCTTGATCTTCATTTTCGACCAACCATCCTTGAGAATTGGATCTCCACCAAAACATGAAGTATTTAAAGCTCTGAATTAGCTCTCCAAATCTTCAAACGGTTTATCATTCGGAGTTTGGAGCGCAAAGTTATGGCCATTTCATCAAAATAGGTCCGGGCGGAGCAAGGCAAGAATGGAGCATTCTGCTCCAATTTCGAGTGCTCGAGCCCTTATTTCGAGTGCTCGAAATTAGGGCAGAATTGCACTCGGGAATGGCCCATTTTCAGCCACTTGCATCTTGGGTTCCTCAATTCTAATTTCCCTCTTTAATGGTTGGTTGGAGATGTTGGTTGGTGGGGGTTTTTAGAGCATTATCTATACAAGAGAAGGGAAGCAAGGCCACATATATCATTAAGCTTCATTTTGGGAAGAGAGAGGAGAGAGAAGAGAGCAAGGAGGAGGAGTTCTTGAAGCTTCAAGGTGGAAGCTCGAAAATGGAGGGGAAAGCCTTGCTTCTTCCTTCATCTAGGCTCACTCATGGGTAACTAAACCTCATCTAGGGAGGTGATGAAGCCTCCCCTTTTGCTTATGTTCTAGATTAGGATCTATTTTGGGGATTATGATGTATCATTTTTGGTCTTTTCATAATCTAGAGCATATTACTTCTTGTAATGAATTCTAATGTTTGTAAATGATTGTTGTAAGTGATTTATCTTGTCTTAGATGGTTTCTTGTAGTAATCATAATGCTTGCTTCTTCATGGTGACAATGGAGATAAGATTATGAATAATTTTCAAGGCATGTTGATAGAGAAAATGGATAATCCATTGCTTACGAACTTCCTTTGATGGGTTATGCTAGTTTCCTACCTCATGTGCTTTATTATTTGATTACAAACTTGATAGTTCTTGCTTGAGTGAGTATGTTGAAGGCTACACTTTAGTTTAGGTAGCTCAAATGTATTAATTTTTGAGGGATTATTCTTGTTTAATGATTTAATGAACTTCTCTAAGGGTATATGGTAATCTAGTGTTGCTATATATTTCGTGACCATTTTATACATTGTACTTCCCCAATTTAGCCTTAATCTAGCATGTACTTAGGGTGTAGTGTGGATTCATCTCCCTAGTCTTTTCTACTTGTATCTCACTCCTTTAATTTCCTTGCAATTTATTATTTTATGCACTTTAATTACTAGCTTAGTGACAAACCAATCAAACAAACCCTTATTACCCCTTATCATTCTAAGAACAATTCTAGACTCTTAGGTTGCCATAGACTAGCGCAGTCCCAGTGGTTCGACTTACCCGACCAATAGCCCTATTTTACAATGATTCGTGCTATTGCGAAGGTTGATGTTTAATTGACCAACCGATCAAGTAGCTTCCTCCACTCCGTGATGTCTCCAAAGGACTTTTACCAATGGTATCGTCTTGTTCCTCAACACCTTCTGCTGTGTGTCAAGGATTTGAACTGGTCCCTCCTCATTGAAAACATCCTCATCAATGTTAACCTCAACCTAACTTAAAACGTGAGATGGATCTGATTCATACTTCCGTAGCATCGATACATAGAAAACATTATGGACTCTGTCCATCTGTGGTTGCAATGCAAGTCTATAGACAACCTCTCCTACGCGGTCGAAGATCTCAAAAGGTCTAATGAATCGTGGCGACAACTTTCCACTTTTCCAGAACCTCATCAACCCTTTCCGTAAAGAAACCTATAAAAAAACGTAGTCTCCCACCTCAAAGGATAGCGGCCGTCTCTGCCTATCCGCATAACTCTTTTGTCGGCTCTAAGCTGTAAACAACCTCTGTCTGATTAGTTTAATCTTCTCAGTAGTCTCGAGTATAATGTCGGGTCCTAAGGCGGCTGTCTCGCCCACCTTAGTTCAACAAATTGGAGACCTACAAGGTTTACCATACAACGCCTAAAATGGAGCCATCTGAATACTCATCTAATAACTGTTGTTGTAAGTAAACTCAATAAGTGGAAGGTGATCTTCCCATCTACCTCCCAAATCAAGTACACAAGCCCAAAGCATATCCTCCAAGATCTGGATGGTACGCTCCTAATGGCCGTCCATCTGTGGATAGAATGCCATACTATGGTGCAACGATGAGCCAAACACTGCTTGAAGTCCTTCCCAGAACCTTGAAGTAAACTTGGCATCCCTATCAGAAACAATAGCCACTAGAACTCTGTGTAACCTTACAAATTCTTTCATATACAGTACACCAAGTGCCTTTGCATCATCTGTCGCCTTAATAGGCAAAAAGTGAGTCGTCTTGGTTAATCTATCAATGATGACCCATATGGCCTCATTTCCCCTCCATGACCTTGGAAGACTTGTCACAAAATCTATAGTGATCTGTTCTCAATTCTACTGCTCTACAGGCAATGGTTGCAACAAACCAGCAGGTCTTTGATGCTTGGCTTTCACCTATTTACAGGTAAGGCATTTAGCCACAAACTGTGTAATATCCTTCTTCATTCCATTCCACCAATATTATCTTCTCAAATTATGATACATCTTGGTACCACCTGAATGAACTGCAAAGTAAGAAGTGTGAAACTCCCGAAGAATGTCACTGTGGGAATGACCAAAAACCCCTTGAACCATAGTCCTCCATCCATATTCAAGGTCCAATCCTTCACCATCTCACCATTGGAAATCAAAGTGTAAATGGCATCCAAATTTGGATCCTGTCTCTGTGACTCAATCACTTGTCCGACAAGAGTAGGCTGAGCCACAGAGCTAAACAAGAATGCTAACTAACTCACTACAAACATCTTCATCAAAGCAGCATAATCCCATTTTTGCTAAGTCTTTAAGCATTTTCCATTTCTGAATGGCTAAACTGGCTAAAGTCCCTCGAGATTTCCTGCTTAAGGCATCAGCTACCACATTTGCCTTGCCCGAATGATACTGCAAGTCAAAGTTATAATCTTCCAAAGACTCAACCCATTGCCTCTGTTTGTTGTTCAACTTATTTTGAGAGAAAAGGTACTTGAGACTCTTGTGATCCAAGATCATTTCAAATCTCTCGCCATACAAGTAGTGTCTCCAACACTTCAAAGCAAAAACAACTACTGCCAACTCCAAGTCATGAGTAGGGTAATTGTACTCATGAGTCTTTAACTTCCGAGAGCCATAAGCTACTACTCTACAACCCTGCATTAGTACACAACCCAAACCGTCACGTGAAGCATCACAATAGATCACATAACCCAAGCCATGCTCGGGTATCACTAACACTGGTGCTGTAGTCAACTTTGTCTTCAACTCTTGAAAGGAAGATTCACAAGCTTTATTCCACACGAACTTGATCCCTTTTCGAGTCAAGCGAGTCATAGGTGCTACCAAACGGAAAAAATCCTTCACAAATCTACGATAATAATCCGCTAGACCAAGAAAACTATAGATCTCAAAAACATTCTTAGGAGGCTCCCAATTCAAAACTACTTCTATCTTCGAAGGATCCACTGATATTCCACCTTTCGAGACAACATGCCCCAAAAAATTCACTTCTTGTAGCCAAAATTCACACTTCTCATATTTGACATACAAACGGTGCTCCCGCAAAATCTGCAATGCAATGTTCAAATGGATCTCGTGCTCCTTCTGAGATCGTGAATACACAAGAATGTCATCTATGAAAACTACAACAAACTAGTCTAAGTAATCGTAAAAGATGCGGTTCATTAGGTCCAGGAATGCCACTCGCGCATTATTCAAGCCAAAGGGCATAATAAGGAACTCATAATGCTCGTATCGCGTACGGAATGCTATCTTTGGGACATCCTTATCCCCAACTCGTAACTGATAGTAGCTTGAGCTCAAATCGTTCTTCGAGAAACAACTGGCTTCCTTCAACTGATCAAATAAATCATCTATCCTCGACAAACGATACTTGTTCTTGATGGTGGCATGATTCAACTTCTGATAATCAATGTACAATCTTAAAGAACCATCTTTCTTCTTAGTGAACAAGACCGGTGCGCCCTACGGTGACACATTCAGTCGGATGAAACCTTTTGTCCTCAAATCATCAAGTTGTTTCTTCAGTTCTTCCAATTCAATAGGTGTTATACGATACGATGCCATAGAAATCAGCGCGGTACCGGGCATCAAATCAATAGTAAACTCCACCTCTCGATGTGAAGGCAACTCTGTAAAGTCCTCTGGAAAAACATCCAAGAAATCACAAACAATTGCCGGATAAACCTCTTCCACAATATCATCTTCTTCGGCTAAAAGATTAGCCAAGAAGTAATTACCACGACCTCGTCTACGAACCCCGTACAATGATGGAGTATAGGAATCATTCTGATCTCCCATGAAAAAGAAACAGTCTCCCTCGAGAGTGTAAACTGTGACTTTTCCTCTAAAACAATCAATCGTAGCATGAAATGAAGCTAACCAATCCATCCCGAGAATGACATCAAAGCCAGTTATCTCAAGGAGGATGGGATCAAACACAAAAGTTCATCCAGCTATCACGTTGGATCAATCTCTCACAATTCTGCTCAAAGACACTAAAACCCCAATGATGAGCACTGAAAAGTTCACATTTAAACCCCTTAAGTTTAGGTATTCTAGGACCTTTACCTATCTTATTCTTTCGTCTTAGACTAATTTCGTGTTATTACCCTTTTCAGGCACTTATCCCAAAAATAAGTTAATTCAGCCAAATAAGAGCTTAAAAGAAGTAATCTCAAGCTGAATAGAAGAAAGGAGCAAAGTGAAAGCAAAGTGTGGAAAAATAGCAAGTTCGATCGATCTCAACAATTTTTTGATCGATCTAGAGGTGATCGATCTAGAAATTTCAAAATGGATCCAAGCCTTTGTCCTTATCCAAAAGATCTCACCATCTTCGATCGATCCAACCTTTCTCAGATCGATTGAAATTATTTGATCTTATCCACACCTACCACCCACCTACGACTCTGGTCTTTTTCCCAAAATATCCCAAAACATCTCAGAGATTTGTCTTTATTCTAAAAGGCACCGCCAAGGATGATCGATCTCTTTAGCATTCGATGTATCTCACTAATGTTCGATCGATCTCAACACAGTTCGATCGATCGAACCTCCTCAAGTCCGAAATAAAACAAAGTCCAACTCATTAAAAAATGGCTCGTGGTGCAATCATTGCAAGGGCCCTAGTGTGCGAGTCCAGACCATTGTGTGTGAAACTTGAGCCTCCTATATAAGGATTTGGAGCCATTTTAAGAGCAACATTCATCATACTTACACATCTCATATCACATATCTTGGAGAGGAGGCTAGAGACTAGAGAGAGCTTTACACATTTTGGGAGTTCTTCCATTCTTCTAGGGTTTCCATCAAGAAGGAGGTCATTCCTACCATCGAGATAGCCCTTGAGGGTTGGATGACTACTTCAATGAGTGGCTAGACATCTACTTGGGGCTAAAGTAGCCCCTAAGTTTGCTTCCTAGACTTAGTGCTTTGTATATTTTTGGGAATTTACTTGTAATAAATGTTTTGATCTTGGATTTATATATATATATCTTGTGGTTTATACCTGATGTGTATGGATTAATGCTTTTAATTGATTATCTATTTCTAATCATATGTCTATGTATGCTAGAATGGATGATTCATGTGCTTTTTTCTAGATTTAATGGAATTTATGCATGTCTATGTGTATGGATGAAGTTAATCTAGTGATGATCAAAACGTAGTGCTTAATTGAACACTTTTGTAATTTATTTGATGGTTCACACTTGTTTCTTGATGGATTGTGCCACACCTTTAGATTACTTAGTTTAATTTTCATGTCTTTAGTGTAGATGTAGTGTAGTTGCTTTAGATTCAAAGATAGGTGGACAATCTATTCTTGTTCCTTGGTGTTCTATACTTATGAATGCAAAGGGTGAATGCTTCTAGATAGTTGTGTGTGCATAAATTGTGGTTTCATTGAATGGACTTTGGTTTCATTTGATAGGTTGTACTTTCCATTTGAATTGGCTAGACAATCTACACTTATTTGCCATCCATGCTTAGTTTCAATTAATGTCACACACACACAAGTTACTATTCAATTGCCCCATTGATATACAATTGCTAGTGTCTAGTGAAGTTAAGCTTAGTGGTGAGCTCTAGTACCCCAAGTCCTCTCCTCTATATCTTTTTCCCTACTTTCTAAATTGTTACCTTTTACTTGCTTTAATTTCAATTGCATTGTAGTTTAATCAACCAAATAAATCATCTTTTGATCACTCGACCTACTAACCCTATATATTATTTCCATTGCAAACACGTCCACAATCCCTTGGGACGATCCTTACTCATCCTAGCTATATTTTTAGTTAGAGGTAGGAGTAGCATTTATAAATTTAAAACTTGGCCATATTGCACGTTCACATTCTTAGTACATTTTTAGGCTTTGGTCTGATGACACACCAAGTTTTTGGCGCCGTTACCGGGGATTGAATTGGTAACGCAGTGTTTTGGACACAAATAAGAATTAGTACTTTTTTGATCGTGTCTTTACTTTGCTTTATTGTTAGTTGCTTATTGTGTTTGTTCTTATTTGGCTAGGTAAATTGAGTAAGGAAGTTAAGCAAAGGAGAATTGAAAGCAAGGAGCTAAGCTAAGCACAAAAAGGAGCTAAAATCTAAAATTTACAAAGCATAGCAAGGCTTGGAAATCCAAAGTTAAATTGAAGTTGCTTAAGGACCCTTTGTGAGATCTTTCTAACTCAATCTCTAGTTAAATCATCGGTCCGCGTGGTGGCAAGTCTTTAAATTCTTAGATAAATCGTGAGCCCACGTGGAGGCAATTTACCTTTTCTTTGCATATTGTTCAAACATGAGAGTATGGGACCAATGTATGTGGATAATGTTTGTTGATTGATTTGTTGTGGGGGCGAAGTGATTGCTATTTACTTGTTATTTGTTTTGCTAGTGCATGCATGGTCATAGGTCATTAAATCCTACTCTTGTCCCTCCTAATTTGCATCTTGAATCAGTTGTTCGTAATCCTAGGGGAAGAAGTAGTTCGCATCACTCCATTTCATCAATGGAGGAGCAACATGATGACTATGTGGAGGACATTGGTCACATAGACCAACAAGGCATCCTCTACCTTAATATGCATCATGAATATATTCAAGTACCATTGGGCATGCCAAGACCATTTATCCCACCACAACAACAAGGCCAAATTCCATTGGGAATGCCTCGGCTAATTTTTGCTCCACAACCTCCTATGGTTCAAGTTAATCAAGGTGCTTATGTAGCACCACCGGTTGTGAATCCTCCCATTGCTTTAAGAGACCATTATGTGCCTAATGAATACAATGCACCTACATGCATTCAATTACCCCTATTTAAAGCATATCACTATGAGATTAAACCACAAACTATTCTAATGCTTCCCAACTATCATGGACTTCCAAATGAAGAACCTTACAAGTATTTGGATGAGTTTCTTGAAGTATGTTCCACCGTGAAATACACGGACATGCCAGAAGAAGTTTTAAGACTCAAACTTTTTCCTTTTACCCTTAAGGATAAGGCAAAATATTGGTTAAACAATCTTAGGCCTTTTTCGATAACTTCGTGGGCAGAAATGCAACAAGAGTTCTTAAAAAAGTACTACCCGGTATCAAAGACCAATGCTATGAGAACTTCCATTCGTGAATTTTCTCAAGGGGATGGGGAAATGTTTCATGAGGCATGGGAAAGGTTTAATGACTTGCTTAGGAAGTGCCTACATCATGACATACCTAAGTGGCAACTAGTTCAATATTTCTTTGAAAGTTTATCGGATAATCACAAGGGTATGGTTGATGCATCTATGGATGGTTCTTATCTTGACAAGCATGAAAATGATGTTTGGCAATTGTATGAAAGCATGAGTGAGAATTCAATGCATAGATCTTTGTCCTCTAAAAATAGTAGAAATTTAGGTAGAAGGAAGAATGTTGGCTTATATCAAATTGACAATTCCAATGACATAGCCGCCAAGATGAAATCCTCATCTCAAAGGTTTAATCAATTCTTGATCAACCAAAATTTGGTGAATCAAGTATCTTCCTCCCCTAATCATGTTCATCATCATGCATCTAATGAATCTTGTATGACTTGTTCAAGTGTCTTGCATTTTACTTCTGATTGTCCCCATGGACATGTGCAAAGCGAGAACTATAAACAAGCAAATATTGTCTTTGCTAACCTAGGGAATAATCCCTATGGCTCACACTATAATCCAGGGTCAAGGAACCATCCAAACTTCTCTTGAAAAAGCCAAAGGGAAGGCTCAAACCCTCCCCAAGGTGGTTTTCAAAACAAGTATGTTCCACCTCCAATGCAAAGCCAAGGTTCCCAAGGTTATAGATTTTCTTTTTAATCATCACATGGAAATCAATTTTCAAATTCTCATTTCCTTAACCAATCATCGTATTCTCAAGGAAACTCAAGGAGTCCTGCTTTTGAGGAGAAAATGTTGACCACTCTAGGCACTCTAGAGGCGAACACTCAATTGCTTCATTCTCATTCTTAATTCATTGCTAAGCTAGAAACCCAAGTTAGGAAAATAGCTAGTACTTTAAATGCTAGAGAGAAGGGGAAGATGCCTTTAAATGCCCCACCAAAGCAACAATGTGTTGTGGAGACTCATTCCTCATCGGAAGGTCACATAATTAAGCATGTCAATGTGGTGATAACCTTGAGAAGTGGGAAGATTATTGACAACCAAGTAGGTATTTCCAATGAAGAGAGTGAACCGGTGCAACCAAAAGTTGACACCCATTCCGTTTCACATTTTATTCCTCCTTCATTGCATATGCATGATCATTTTTTTGAGAAAGTTGTCAAAAAGGATTGGAAAGATGAATTGAACAATGATTTAAAAAAGGATTTGAAAAATTCTTGCTTTACAAGTGATTTAGAGAAAAATTTTGAAAAACTTTTAAGCCTAAAGCTCCATTTCCGGATGCCTTGAGAGGATCCATTTCTCTTAACAAACAAAAGACCAAGACCAATGATATTATTGAAATGTTTAGGCAAGTGAAGATCAATTTTTTACTTTTGGATGCAATTAAACAAAATCTGGCTTATGGCAAATTTTTGAAAGATCTTTGTACCCAAAAGAGGAAGAACAAGAACCAAACACCAAGGAAAGTGGTCTTAATTGAGCAAGTGAGCTCTATTTTGTAACATAACACTCTCCCAAAGTTTAAGGACCCTGGTTCACCTACTATATCTTGAATTATTAGTGACTATGTCATCAATCGGGCTCTTCTAGACTTAGGAGCAAGTGTCAACCTTCTTCCATATTCAGTTTATGTCAAATTGGGCTTAGGAGACCTAAAACCAACGTTGGTAGTTTTACAACTTGCCAACCGATCCATCAAAAAGCCCCGGGATATTATAGAGGATGTTTTGATTAAGATTGATAAG